TCTTAATTAAATCTTATAACAGGCTGGAGCAGCCGACTTGATATTACAGGCTTCACTCCTTGCTGTTGTCGTTGCTGTGTACTGGAAGATCTCTCTTGGCAGATTCCACTTCAATTTTTCACTAATTTTTGTTTCATCAATAATTTGTATGATAGAAAAGTAATAAAAAAAATAAAGATAACAAAATACGGTTTCATTCCATATCCATTTGTCCCATTCAAAAGGGAATCCTATAGTGGTCGTGTGTGACTTCATGAAACTCGAAGGTGGAAGAAGTCAAAATATGATTAATTTTAAATTGAATTGTTCAAGATATATTTAAAAACCACTCATTTTATTATCAAGGAATCATAAATGGGAGTAAATGTTGAAAGTTACACATCAAACTGTTATTTATGCTGGATGTTCTATCCACATCATCGTATCATTTCTACTTATACTTATTTTTAACGTTAACCGATTAACGTGCAACGCACGTTGACCCCACTAGTATATATATAGAAAGAGGTGGGTACACATTTATTAGGTTTGACACGTGGTATTTAATTCCACCTTACAGCCTATTTATAAATGTCACGAATATTCCACCTACGATGACAATATTTTTGTAACCAAAAATAATGTCAATTATGATTATTTTTCACTTCCATTATAGTATTTGATTTCGTTACAATTTTCATTTAATTCCATTCTTTTATTTGATTGTTTTGAATTTTTTTTTTTTTTGCGGGTGGCTGACTTGCAGCTAATATTTCCACTATAGTGAGGTAAATAATTGGAGAGATTAAACACCTACGACAACATTCAATTTTTTTTCATTGACGCCTCGGCGGCACCAATGTGGGTATCAATAAGAAACGTTATTATACATATAAATAGATTGTACACCTCTATTTCTTAAAACTTATTTAAGGCACTTTAAATTAATTAGACGTTCACACCAAACACTATAACTAATTGTTGAAGCAATTCTTCATAAGCTAGAAAATTACATACATAAAGAGTTGTCAATTCTAGCTTCTAGATTTAGACGACATTGAAGGGCTCAAAAAGAAGGCTTGTGTACTAAAATGAGATGACTTATAACCACCGGTTAATTAGATCATCTTTTATTATTATTATTATTATTATTATTTTATAACCGTGAATGTTCGGACCAGATTGCGCGCACCTCGACTAATCCCACGAGCCCTGAAGTTTACGGTCGGATACTCACTTTAGTAGCCTGAGAGGACTCGAACTGGTGACCATTGAAGAGCAAACCTAAGGCATGACCAATTGAGCAACCCCTCAAGGTCAGATCATCTTTTATTATGCTATAACTAATTCTTAGGAATAATTTTTTTAATATAGTCTGTAATTAAGTTGAGGCAAACTAAATTTCTCTTTCTCAATAAAGTGTTAAACTCGAACTACAAGATTCTCCAAGTACGTGTGATAAGGGGGAGAGGAGTTATACTTATGGGCAAGTAACATGAATTGACCTTTAATACGTATTGGATAAAAATTAATGAAAAAATCTATATGAAAACTTGTATTGAAGAGGTTGTCATTTATACATTGAAGTTATGATCTTAATACCAATTAGTTGATCATGTGTTCTGTATAAAGAGGCAGCCCATGCTATCAATGCTTTTTATTGTGTTATGGGCAAAAGTCAGTGGAAAATTGATGTGAAAACTTGTATGTAAGAGGTTGCCATATATGTCTTGAAGCTAACTATTCAGTTGACGTGTTTTATATGAAGAGGTGCACTACTGCTTTCATTAACCCATTAACATTTCAAGAAATCCGATTGGAAAGTCAAAAAAAAAAAAAAAAACACCCGTAAACAAAAAAAATAACCCTAGCTACCTCGCCGTTACCCAGCCTGCTCAGTTTCGACGTTGTCTCGGCCAATCCGAGCTCGTCGTCACCTAACCCACTCAAATCCACCCTCGCCGTCACCTACCCGCTCAGATCCGCCACAATTTCGCGCTTCGCCAGAGCTTCCCTGGCTTTTCCGAGCTTCGCCAGAGCCTCCCCGACCATCCGAGCTTCGCCGGATCTTCCCCCGTCCTTTCAGAACTTCGCTGACCTTTGTCGGACCTCTACTTGGGCTAGTATTCATTGTACTAGTTTCAGATCCTCTGTTTCTTAGTTTTTTGTTCGTGAAATAGCCATCCACTTATTCGCAAGTCTTGTTATGATTCTCCAATTCTTTGTTTAAGCCTCACAGTTGTTTGTATTATTGGTTTGTTTCCCTTGT